CATGGCAGTTACTGCTCCCACATGATGCACCACTTGGTCGACCCACATACCTGTCTGTTAACCATGAAATAACCGAGAGACTGTTAGCTTAGCTTGGCCTGAAGGCAGGAAACAGTATGAGACAGCTAGCCTGGCTCGCTCCCAGCTAGGGGTATAGTGGTATTTTCTTCTGTCTTTCATAACTTTCACAAAATATCCACTTCTAGGTCAGACGGACCTGAAACTCTACTGATGTGTCACACAGCTTTTATATTTCAGAGAACAGAAGATTCAGAATGCAGAGCACACCTTCATATTCCTTTAAACCTCTTACTCCACGCTCCTCCTGGGGGGATAGTGTTACTGTTTGCTGTCTGACTGGTCTAAGTCTGAAATATTGCTGATGCAACATTTTAAATGTTGCCGGGAAAACATCTAATTAAATGTCTCTGCTGTCTCCCAAGCTAACGCTCACACATCACAGGTTTCCTTCCTCAGGCCTTCAAGAATCTGCAGGCCAAGATGATCTCCGTGTTATTGTTTTACTTAGTGCATAATGTGATTACATGCATATCTGACTTTAACACAAGTCATCATATTTATCTCAAATTAATCATTATTCCAGCACTTTTACTCTCTTTAAGTCCAAGTAACTGAACTGTCTTTACACATTTTTTCTCTCTCTCTCTCGCTCTGCTGACCTGAAAATCAAGGTACATGCTAGACTGTGGATTTTGTGTACCGCTACACCAGTCTGACTCACTGGGTTCAGGCTTCCGCTATCTGCATGTTACCATTTTCAAAATCTGCTTCACTATGGGAACCAGCAACAAGCTCCAGGCAGCAGCTAAAAATTTCAAGTTCTGCAGAGGTTTTGGATCATGTAGTGAGGCAGCGCTGCTAGTTATTTTCAGCGCGTTATCCATTTTACAGAGCTTAAGCCTGCCATCTGATGTAAGCTAAGAAGTCCTGATTCTGCAAAATCACACAAATATTTCATTGTATTTTACCCTTAAAAGCCAAAACTGTGTTTTTCTCTGAGCACTGTTGATATCAGCAGATAATTACAACAGTCAGCGTATATCACCAGTGTCAGACAAGGTTTAGTTGGCGTGTAACTGGATCTCACCGTTACAATCAGTGAAGCAGCTGACGCGCTATATGGTGCAACAACCACAAAAACAATCTAAGCAGACCCCCACAAGGACGCCATAAAAGAACGCTTCGGGAACACAAACCTGTGCTCCCAGGTTATTGATTTTATAATTAGTCAGTGTAATGGCTCTTGTGTGACGTCAGGGGACGAGTGATACGTGCAGACTTACTGCAAACCTCCTGTTCTGCAGTCTGTGGTAGGAAGACGTCAGACGTGGGTGTGACAGGGTTATTACGTTTCCCCATGTGGTTTCTCCCTTGTGAAATGTCATTACCAAAAATCTTTTAAAAGCCCTTTTCCAATTTCACAAGGGGTAATTTAAACAGGTTTAATAGTGAAATCGTGCAACAAAGCGCAGAAGATATTTGCTGTGACTCATTTTCAATAAACTCGGCAGCAAAAAGAAGCACAGGGAGGAGCAGTAAAGCTGACTGAAACACTGTTCAAGACTGTAGTTTCACCGCCATGAATTTATCTGCAGCATTTCCCTCACTACAAAAAAAACTTCTTCCAGGGGAAAAAAAAAAGAGAGGGCTGAGATATAACTCACTTTTCTGAACAGCATTATTAAGCAAACTGCACGCACGGCTTTCCCGAGGCATGGTTTTTCATCTCACACTTCTACCCAGACAGTTTCAGGCACTAGTGATTATGTTTTTATGGGATAAAACTATTAATGTTTCATGGCGTTAACTAATCCCTGATTCTCATGAATTACTAAGCCGTATAGTTATGCTCAGTGGCACTCAAGTTTTTGTTTTTTTCTGCTTTCTAGGAGCTGCGGCTGACACTCAAAAGGAACAGTTATGGCTCCAGGAGATTATTATTTATTTTTAGATTATCTGACATTATTCACTTTGAGACCTTGTGGAGAATTTGTGCCATAAAATATTCAACGCAATGCATTTCAGCCGTACCAAATAAATACATACAAATAAAAATCGTGAATGTGCATTTTGCAGTTGGAGCGCAGCTTCATTGTTTTGAGAGCATCCTGTGCCTCGGTGCAATTTTGTAGCTGAGTGGCGAAACACAGGGCGTCTCATCTGCAAATTGCAAAGTACGCAACTTTGTTCTCAGAAGTCTGTATAAGATATGTATGAGATGGAAAATGACGCTTGCTCACTTAAACAGTCTGATCATTCGGGCTTGTAACTCTAACTCAGGCTGTCTTGTTAAACTGCAGAATGATAGCAGGGTGAAGTAATGCAAGAACTGGAGACTGTGTGTCCTCTCAGGTTTGACATTGGGCATTTCGGCAAGCAAAAAAAAAAGTGCCAGTGGATGTTTCCACACGCCTGCCTCAAAGGGCAATAATGAGCCCAGTGTGGTTTGGTGCTTCTCAATGAAGCAAAACACAGAAATGTGAACAGATATCACTAGAAT